GATTCAAAGATGTTATATTTTGGCACTTCTCCAAGCTCATTTATATGTTCTTAGATCCATCTGCACCAAGGTTATTATAGCTATGAAAATAATAAATAATGAATGTGTTGAAAATAATGAAAATAAAATAGAAAAGTAATTAATAAATGGGTTAATAATGAATGATTTTGCTAAACATATTAAAAAGTGCTTATTTATTTTGATGTAATTAATTGGAATAATTGTTTCAATTCGTAAACAAATAAATTTAGATGCACAAAAATTAAACAAAAAAATCAAAAAACAATTAATGAGCTGTGAATCAATCAATCAATTAATTCTCCAAACCCATTTGTTTTAAGTTTCAATTTCACAAATGTAATAATTAAAATAAACTAAATAAATTGATAGTTAGTTAAATTACCCTAGATCAAGATTCAAAGATGTTATATTTTGGCACTTCTCCAAGCTCATTTATATGTTCTTAGATCCATCTGCACCAAGGTTATTATAGCTATGAAAATAATAAATAATGAATGTGTTGAAAATAATGAAAATAAAATAGAAAAGTAAATATAAAATGGGTTAATAATGAATGATTTAGCTAAACATATTAAAAAGTGCTTATTTATTTTGATTTAATTTATTAGAATATAATTTCAATTTACAAACAAATAAAATTATGGTTAATAAAATAAGAATTAATAAAGTTAAATAAAAAATCCTAAAATATAAATACTGAATATATTTTATCAAAGTCTAAAAAAGAGAATATATACTTCATTAATTTATTTTCATATTTAAATTATCTGATTTTTTAGTTAATTTATAAGTAAATTAAAATGATAGTTTTTGGAAATAAAATTTTTAGTATAAATTTAAAAAGGTAAAATATATTTTAATTTTAATATAAAAAAAATAATAAATTTATAATCATCTATTATTAATTTTTTAGTTAAATAGTTTTGAATATTAGGTAATTTTTTTTAATTTGATAGTTTAAATAATAATTCTCAAATTTGATTTCATAATTATTTATTATTATTAATATCTATTTTCTTTAAAATTACAACTTTTTTATGAATTGCTAATTTGCAAATTTTATAAAATTTTTTTTAAAGAATGAAAAATCTATTAATATTTTTTATTAGGTTCAAAATTGTTTTTACATAACATTAATATTTTTAAATTCTTTTGAAATATTCTTTATATAATATAATATTTAATCTTATAATTAATTTTCTTTTATCAAAAAATTTCTCAACTTTATTAATTATAGTGTAAAAATAAAGACCTAAAAAATGAAATGGGAGATATTTAGAGAATTAAATAAACTCTACAATAAATAAATAAAATTTTTAAGTATTTAACTCAAATCTTATTTAATTATTGAATTTTTATATCTCATTTTGAATTTATATTTATTAATTCTATCTTTTATATCACTTTCTTAAGCAATTGAAATTTTTAATAACTTTAAATCTCAAATTTATGAATCAATAAAGATGTCTAAAATAAATTATTTTTAAAATATTTAACTTTATACTAATTCTGATAAACTATAACTTAATTTGAATGAAAATAAGTAGATTTCCTTACGGAATTAAAATCTATTTGCAAATAATAATTAATTTAAAGTTATGGAAAAATTACAAATTTTGAAATTTTTGTTTAGATACTTAAAAAATAAAATAATAATTTAGATTTATTTTAGGGGAGAAAATATCAATTTCTTAAATCACATATCAATATAATATTTGATGTTATTTGAATTATTTATTTTAAAATTAAATTAAAATGAAATTCTTTTATCTATTTAAAATTGTTTAATAATAATAATATTAATACCCGAAATAAAGATCTAAGTGATGAACTAACCTTTTTGCTATACATTCCTAGATTTTAGAGAGATTACTGTAACCTCCAAAAGCATACTCATCTAATCTGACTTCATTTTGCTTGCTTGTGTAGTTAAATTTAAGAAAAGATTGTCTGAATTTTGAAATCATCAAATTAGACTCAGTAAAATCCAATTTTTCCTTTACCGCATAAATGAACTAACTTTCTAATTTTAGTCTTAATTCATTTAATTGTTTAGTTAGTCCAAAAGAATCGATTCTATTCTAAGGCATTTTTTCAAGCATTTTAATTATAATTTAGTTAATATCTTAATATAGAGCGTTTTTGCTTATATAGTTAGGTAGTTTTCCATTTCTGATAAAAGTACAATCTCCGTCTTCAAGAAACTTTCCAAGGGTTAATTCAAGAAGAATAATTCCTAAGCCATAAATATCATACTTTAAATAAAAATTCAATTAAAAATAAGTAAATAAATAATAGAATAATTTAATCAATTTACTTTGATATTGAATAAACCGTTATCATCTGTTATTTCAGGAGCTGCATACTTTCTTGTAAATCCTTTGAGCTTTTAAATATTAAGAATTTAAAATAAAAATAAATTTATTGAAATAGCTCTAATATACAAATAGTAAAAAAATTTTTGAGAAATTAAAAAAAAAGCTTGATAAATTTGAATAAATTAAATGTTTTAAAAGTAAGTGTTGTAATTCTAAAAATAAATAGTTCTGAAACCAATTTGAGTAGTAGTTAAATTTAAAAAAAATAAATTTATTAATTACGTTGTAAGTTTTTGATCCATCTTTAAATGATTTAGACTCTCCATAATCACCTTGAAGTTTAAAAATAAGAATTTAGGTTATTATAAACTAATAAATAGTATAAAATTCAAATCAATAAGATTAAAAGTAAATCTTTTATATTTGAAATATTTATTTATTAAGAAATATATTTATTTAAAATATTCAAACTATTTGTTTGTATATTAAAGATTAAATCAAAAACAAGTATTTATAAAAAGAATGAATCTTTTATAAATAAGTGTTATAAAATTATTAGAATTTACTCTTTAAATTATTTGATTTATTAAACATAATAAAGTCAATTGTTTATATTTAAAAATATTAGATTAAAAAAAAACTGAGAAAAACTTTTCTCAAAATTTTAAACATATTTTTTATTTTTTGTTTAATTTAAAGTTATTTTTATTAGGCTTTAATATATAAATATTTAGAATATAATTAACTCTTTTATAATTCTTTTACATAACTATATATTGTAATCATATTTTTAGATGGGGGAATATTAAATTAACTTACAATATATTTTGTTTGCTAGTTTGAAAAGTTTCTTAATCCAAAAGTTTAAAAATAAAATTTTAAAAAAATTAAAAAATTTACATAGATTAAAGCATTTTTCTTAGCTATCGTAAAGGATATTCTCTGGTTTAATATCAGAGTGAATCAAATTATTTTACTAAATTTTTTCAAAAACTGTTGACATCTGAATAGCAAAACCAACTATTTAGTTGAGTGGTAGTGTTTTTTTTTAATCAAAGAAGCTTTACATTATGTCTTTAAGATTACCTAAAAATTTGAATATTTTTAAAAACTAAAAATAAAAAAATATGAATTTTACATGAATATTTTTTAGAAATCTGATAGTATTTCGAGTTTTTTTCATTAAAAAACTCTTCAATAGATTTAAAGACATAAGGAGTATCCTTTAACAATTTCATTATTTTTTCTTCTTCTTTGATTTTATCAAATTTAGGTTTGCTACATTTGACAGCTACTATTTCTCCATTGTATTTAGCCTCAAAAACACATCCATAACCACCTTGTGCAATGTAGGATGTTAAGTATACCTTCTTTTTTTGAAGCTCATTGTAAATCGTTGTTAGTTCATCTGAATCAAATATCATATTCTCTTTATGTTTCTTTTAGTAGTCCAGAAAAATTTCTTAAAATTTTTCTTCAGGTGCCTAATATTTAAGCTCAATGTCTTGTTATTATTGCATGATTAGTAACAATCGCTAATATATAAAATAATTATAATGTTTAACGAATAAGAATAAAAAATTTTTTTTTTAATTTTAATAATATATTTTATTTTATAACGAAATCTTTTTTTTATTTACCTTTTTTATTTCTTTCTTTTCTTTCAATTAATTTCTTTGCTTTTTTCTTAATTAAATTATAAAAATTTGTTAATTAAAAAAGTATAAAAATTATTAGTGAATGATTATTTTTTTTGATAATTAATTAAAAATAATAATTAACTAAATACTTTGTGATTTCCGCCAAAAACCTCAAAATCAAATTTATCCTACTGCTTACTTAATAATTTAATTGATAATTAATTTATATTAAGCAATTTTATTTTATCATGTAATAAATATGTTTTTATTTATTAGAGATAAATAAAAAAGAAAACAACTGTTTTTAAAATCTACTAAAAAAATATAAATCTGGTATATAAAAATAAAAAGTTTAATCAAATTAAATTTTTGATTAAACATTTTTTTTATTTTTTATTTCTATAGGTTCTAAACTTGCTTCATATATCTTTTTTTATTAAATAATATATATTATTCTACTAAATATATATTTCTTACTCAAGAAATAATTATCCAAAAAAGCAATAATTATAAAGAGTTTCTCTTTATAGTGTACTAATTTAAAACAATTTAGTCACAACAATCCTTATAGTTTTGATAATTATTATAATTATTAAAATAGAAAATTATATTTTAATCAATATGTTTTTTAAAGTCTATCTTTGTTTAAAATAAAAATAATAAAGTTGAAATGGTTTAAAATTTTACTATTATAATATTTTAAACAATAAATTTAATTTAAATAAAAAACATTTTTATGAATTTTAATATATATGTATTTATACATTATAATGATAATTTCATTTGTTTTTTATCTTGAATTTTATAAGATTAATTACATTTAGAACATGAAATTCATATATAAAAATATTTATAAATGAATACTTAAAAATTATGATTGGTTTAATTTTTATATCAATATTTATTTACAAATATATTTATAAATTATTATTTTTTGTATTTTTTTTCAATTGCCAATTTGAATTTTGAATTTGTGTTCGAGTTCAAAAACTAAAATATAAAAATGAAAATAATTAATTAATCAGTGATGAATGATTTTGCTAAACATATTAAAAAGTGCTTATTTATTTTGATGTAATTAATTGGAATAATTGTTTCAATTCGTAAACAAATAAATTTAGATGCACAAAAATTAAACAAAAAAATCAAAAAACAATTTATGAGCTGTGAATCAATCAATTAATTCTCCAAACCCATTTGTTTTAAGTTTCAATTTCACAAATGTAATAATTAAAATAAACTAAATAAATTGATAGTTAGTTAAATTACCCTAGATTGAGATTCAAAGATGTTATATTTTGGCACTTCTCCAAGCTCATTCCTATGTTCTTAGCTCCATCTGCGCCAAGCTCATTACCCCTATGAAAATAATAAATAATGAATGTGTTGAAAATAATGAAAATAAAATAGAAAAGTAATTAATAAATGTGTTAATAATGAATGATTTAGCTAAACATATTAAAAAGTGCTTATTTATTTTGATGTAATTAATTGGAATAATTGTTTCAATTCGTAAACAAATAAATTTAGATGCACAAAAATTAAACAAAAAAATCAAAAAACAATTTATGAGCTGTGAATCAATCAATTAATTCTCCAAACCCATTTGTTTTAAGTTTCAATTTCACAAATGTAATAATTAAAATAAACTAAATAAATTGATAGTTAGTTAAATTACGCTAGATCAAGATTCAAAGATGTTATATTTTGGCACTTCTCCAAGCTCATTCCTATGTTCTTAGCTCCATCTGCGCCAAGGTAATTATAGCTATGAAAATAATAAATAATGAATGTGTTGAAAATAATGAAAATAAAATAGAAAAGTAATTAATAAATGGGTTAATAATGAATGATTTAGCTAAACATATTAAAAAGTGCTTATTTATTTTGATGTAATTAATTGGAATAATTGTTTCAATTCGTAAACAAATAAATTTAGATGCACAAAAATTAAACAAAAAAATCAAAAAACAATTTATGAGCTGTGAATCAATCAATTAATTCTCCAAACCCATTTGTTTTAAGTTTCAATTTCACAAATGTAATAATTAAAATAAACTAAATAAATTGATAGTTAGTTAAATTACCCTAGATTGAGATTCAAAGATGTTATATTTTGGCACTTCTCCAAGCTCATTCCTATGTTCTTAGCTCCATCTGCGCCAAGGTAATTATAGCTATGAAAATAATAAATAATGAATGTGTTGAAAATAATGAAAATAAAATAGAAAAGTAATTAATAAATGGGTTAATAATGAATGATTTAGCTAAACATATTAAAAAGTGCTTATTTATTTTGATGTAATTAATTGGAATAATTGTTTCAATTCGTAAACAAATAAATTTAGATGCACAAAAATTAAACAAAAAAATCAAAAAACAA